GCGAAACTTCGACAGGTCATAACTTCTTCGTTATAACTCGGATTTCGGCATTCTTTATATATCCGTAATCCTTTTCACGACCACTACAACTTTCTTAATAGATATTGGCTTTATCTAATATTTATTTTCGACGCTCATTTTTATTCTTAATTAATTAACTCCTAGTAATTAAGCATAAAACACATAAAACACATAATATTCACATAATTCCTTTTCATTTCTCCAAAATGAGTCACAAAGGTTAACCTGGACTATCAAGTCAATATTAATGCCTAGCCTAGAAACACGGGCATTACAAAATCGGTGGTTTCTCGTTCCTCTACAGAAGCTGAATATCGGGCTATGACCACCACCGTTAGTGAAATTTTATGGTTACGTTGGCTGCTACGAGACCTTGAAGCTCCTCAAACCGTTCCAACGTCTCTTTATTGTGATAATCAAGTTACTCGACACATAGCTAACAATATCGTTTTTCATGAACGAACCAAACATGTAGAAACGGATTGTTATTATAACATCCTGTTTTAAGTTGATTCATATTCGAGACCATGGCCCGAATATATGTTACCAGAGGGTTTCAGATATTGGCTAAGAAAGGTTTAGACCCCTTTGAGTGTGGGTAATGTAGCTTACAGGATCTGAGAGTTCGGTTTGTGTTTTTGGAGACCAAGGGTATATCGGTAAAGTGACAGTTTGGGCCTTTTATGGAATTAGATTTTTGTTCGGAAAGTTTTATGGAAAAGGGGAGTTAGCAGAAAGGTAGAGCTCTCTAAGACCTTTCCGAGGATATAAAGAACGTCGAAAACGGAGTTGAAACGAAGAAGTTATGGCCATTTAAAGGTTGAGTGGTTTGGGTGAGTGATCGTTGACTTGTTGACCAAGCTCATTTAAGGCTCACGACGTGAGAAGCACCTGATGCCCCAAAATCCTTATTTTCGGGTATTTATAGGTATGAGATGATTAGGGTTGCTCCTCCTTAGCCTCCTTCACTTCCAAGACCTTTGGAAACCCTAATCTTAGCCCCCATTGAAGTTCTTGGTCATTCTTGGTGTTATTAAAGAGCTTTTGGGAGAAAAAGATCATTTGTGGTGCATTTGTTTGAATCTTGGCTTCATCATCAGCTAGTTGTGGAGCTTTTGGACCTCTGTAAGTCCTCAAGTTCATGCCTATCCTTTCATTGCTTGCTAGATCTAAGTTTCCATGCATTTTATGGCTTGTAATGTTGGTTAGCATGCATGGGATCCATAAAGTTGGCAACTTTATGGATCATGGTGGTATCTTAAGTCTTATAAGTTTTGGATCTAGATTTTGGTCATGGTTTTGGACTCCAAGCTTGATTATTGGTCCTTTTTCTTCCATTTTGACCTAAGTTGGTGTTTGAGTCATGTATTGGACATACATGACTGAAAAGCTTCGATTTTTATGTCCCTTGGGGTCAAGGAAGACCCTCTAGACTGTCCCATGTTAAGGCTTAATGGATTAGGAGCTTAATGCTCAATTTTTGTCAGATCTGGACTCACGAAGTGAGGAATAAGACCTCACGACGTGAGAGCGTGTTCGAGGAAGTTTCTAGGTAAAATTCATGACCTCACGACATGAGCATAAGGTGCTCACGACGTGAGAACCTCCTGTGCAAATTTGGGCTCTTTGATTGTTGGCTAGCTTGGTCTTGGACTTATCCTTTGTTTTGGGCTCATAATGGACTAAGGATTTTAGAGTAATGGACTTTTGTTTGGGCTTGCCTTGTTGGGTTTTCCCTAATGGGCCTTGGATGGTGAATTGGGCCTTAGTGGGCTTTATGGAGTTGGGCCTTGATTGGGCCCAATGGGCTTGGGCTAATTATGGGCTTGGTTAGTTGGGCCATTAGTGGGTCTGGTACATGGGTTTAGACATGTGTATTGATGGAGTTTAGTTTTGGGGTTTGGTTCAGTGTTTGGAGCCGGTTCGCAGCAGAAGCAGTTGTAGGGTCCGTCTTTCTTTCGAGGTGAGTCTCCCTTCGTGAATGTTACAGGTCGAAGGCACCAAGGCCAGCCCTTTATTTATTGCATAGTATGATGGTTGTCTGTGTGATAATTATCATCCCCGTGTTAACACCATCAAATAATATCCAATTAATAATTGGATCTCGACCCATAATCCAGAATCTAAATTACTTGTCCAACATCCAGGGTAAAAGACCATTTTACCATTTTCTTACTTGGCCCAAAAACCAAGGCCCAAATTATATGCTCAAAAGGCCCAAATTCCTAAATGGCATCCTAAGGCCCGATATGGCCTAATTTCCTAATTGGGCCTAAAACCAAGATGGACCTAAATCCAAGAAAGCCCATATTCTATTCATGGCCCAAAGTCAGAAGTCCAATAGCCCAACAAGGCGCAAACCCTAAAAGTCATAAATATAGCCCAAACCCGTCAAATTCAACCGATGGTCAAACCGCTGAGTACGTTGGGCGTACTGAGACTTACGCTTAACGTACTGCTTCTTGGGCCAGTACGCGCAACGTACGAGCTGGGTACACCCCGCGTACTCACCAGACAACCAATCCAACCCATTAAGCACTTAATCGGTTAAGACATCATGCCAAACTCTCAGATGTGATTCTAGAAGGTGACTTAACACATAAAGTTGGCAACTTTACTCCCATGCATGTCTTAATAAGACCCAAAACTCTAAGAGAACCATAACAATGAACCTAACACATGCATAGACCAAAATAACTCATAAAGGTTGTATTTTTATGGACAAGGGACCTCAAATGTGCTAAGATCTAACATCCGTGGCTTTTGGAGTAGACCATAATATCAAATATGGCTTAAAAGACCCAAAAATGCAAAATAACACCCTAAGTTTGATCTAGCATAAAGAACCATGAAGATGAGAGATTTTACCTCAAATGGCTTGCTAAGATGAAGACGACTCTGGATCTACAATCTCAAGCCACTCCCAAGCCACCTCCAAGTGTTATTTTTCTTCTACTTCACCAAAAATACCCCCAAAACTCACTTTCAAGCTCAAATCTCACAAATGACAACTAGGGTTTCGATCTTAGGGTATAGAGTGATGAAGGTTGTTCAATAGAAGGTCCAAGGGTGTCGTAAGTTGTTTAAATATGTCACAAACTCTAAAAATTAGGGTTTACCCTTGCATTACGTATGCCATGCGTACTCCCACATACGCCCCGCGTACGTGGGTGAACCCGCGATCCATCGATGAGCTAGTACGCTAAGCGTACTCAAAGAGTACACCCCGCGTACTAGCTAGGGACGTAAATGATGAAATTTTTACAATAAGGGTTAAAAAGGAAACATACCAAATCTCGAATGTTACAATTCTCCCCCACTTGAATCAAACTTCATCCTCGAAGTCCGCTGCCCCAAATAACTCTGGGTAGTGCTCCCTCATCTCGTCATTCGGCTCCCATGTCCATTTCGAATCCTTGTGGTGCTTCCACTAGGGATGTCAACGGGGGCAAACGGGAGCGGAAATAGGTGGCCCCACCCCCGCCCTCGAAATCATCTATTGCCCCCGCCCACGCTCCCGCCCCCGTCCCTGCTCCCGCCCCCGGATCCCCCGTTTACACAGCCCCCGGTCCCGTCCCCGGTTACCTCCATCGCCCCCGGTCCCCCGGCTTAAAATTGGATTTATTTTTTTGCTAAAAAATTGCTTTGTTTTTCGCAAAAATACTATTTTTAATAAATTTAAAAGCTTAAAACCTAATCTTTTAGAAACTAAAAAATTAAAAATCCAACAATTCCAACAATCTTACAAAGACAAATCCAACAATCTTACAAAGACAAATCCAACATTACAAATGCAAAATACGACAAATCCAAAATTACAAATATAAAACACCAATTCACTACATATTCAGTATCCATTAATTTCCTTCAACTCTTCATTCACTTACATTCGAATATCCTCCCTAAATAAATAAATAAATAATAATAAAATAAATTATTATATTAGTTTATTCAATACAAAACGACAAATTGAACAATCTTACCTCAAGTCCCTCGTCGTCTTCATCTAAATGTACATCATCACCATCAATAACAACCTAACAAAGAAAAAATAAATAAAGGTAATAAGCATAATATATTAAAATGAATTAAAAAAACAATGGTTCAAGCAAATTCATACATACCTTTTTACCCCCCCCCCCCCCCATAGCCAATTTTGAGTGCATATAATAGCTTCAATTGTTGACGGAAGAAGTCTACTCCTATGTGGACCAACGATTCTACCACTTGTAGAAAAAGAAGACTTTGAAGCAACAGTGGAGATAGGAATGGCTAATATGTCTTTTGCAATCAAACACAATGTAGGATACTTAACCCCATTTAACTTGCACCAACCTAACACATCAAACTCATGAATTCGGGGTAAAGTGCCTTCCTCTAAGTACCTTTCTAATTCATTTTTTACAAAAACTTCACTAGTAGAAGAATTCCATGAGAAGAAAGCATCTAATGAGTCCATGTCACTTGCGGGAGCTGCATCTCGACTAGAAGTGGGCTTACTAGTAATATCATCATTACTTGCTTGACTCATAACACTTGACTCATATCGCATATATATATATATATATATATATATATATATATATATATATATATATCTTCACAAATTTGACGCACTTTCTGAATTCATCTTTTGCATTATCTACTCCATAGATAATAGGAAAAAATACTCTAGGAGCTCCATCTTAAACCTTGGATCCAATATCGTCGCCATAGCCAACACCCCGTGAGTTTCTTTCCAATACTCATCAAACTTTGTAATCATATTTTCAGACATTTCGCTTATTTCAATGAAACTAGATGTATCCCATTTATTTAGAGCAATATTTATTTCACATATTTTGGGGAAAAAAATGTTGGTTGTTGGATATTTTGTTCCCGAAAATAATTCTGTGGCATTATAAAAGATTTTTAGTCTATCACAAAGCTCACTTGCCAAAGCCCACTCTTTCTCATCAGGTGCATTCTTATATTGGGGCTCACGTTGATGTAACCGATAAAACACCTTCTTGTATTTCAAAGTCGGTAGTTATTCCAATCCTACCTTGAATACTCTCCAAAAAATGCATCATCCTTGCCTTTTCCTCACCGTACAACTTCATGACATCAAATCTAGCTGTGTTTCTACAAATAGGCCTAAAAAGTGGTTGGAGCCCCTGATAAAAATCTCTAAAGCCTTCGTGTTCAACAATTCTAAGTGGGTAATCATGTTTTGTGATCATTTTAGCAAGATCGGTTTGCAAATTGTCATAATTAAACCGATGTGTTGCTAAAATTGATCCCCCACTTTCATCCGTCTTAGATCTTTTTACGGTTAACTGACTCTGAAAATCATCAATTTTCTTTTGCCCAATTTGTATTTTGCATGACTGGTGAGAATGCATCCCTTTGGTTCCATTTTTGGTTGTATAAGTAATTTCCTTTCTACAATACTTACAAACAACCTTTTTGGTTCCATTAACTTCTTCATAGGTGAAATGATGCCACATTGGAGATGTGAATTTAATTTGTTTCTCGTTACAGTTAAGTGCAGAATTGGCGGTATCATTAACCGTGTTTGAATCATTGGGTTGATTCGGTTTTGCTGAAGACATGATTACAAAAATCTGAAAATGGTTCACACAAACAATCGGTGAGAAATCATGTGTATGACTTATCTAGCTAAAAAATACATGTATGATTGAAGTGATGAAAATTATAAAATTAAAAATCAAGAATTGATCCACAAATAGTTTGATTTAGATCTACAAATAGTTTATACAAGTCCAACATATGTATATAAACAAACATGTAAGCCCTTGATAATGTTTGAGAAATCGAAATTTGTTCACTGAAATAAACCTTAATTCACACTAATGTTTGAGAAATTGAAATCAACAACACTAAATAAACCTTAATTCACACTTATGTTTGAGAAATCGGTCATAAACACAAATCGTGAGCCAACTCAGCCAAGTGGTAGAATCGACTTTGAACTGTGAAGACTGAAGAACGCTCTCAATTGTTAATTGTATCGGAGAAGGAAAGACAGAAATTAAGACTTGGAGAAGTCGCAGTCGGAGTTCTGAATACATTACCGTCAAATGCAGAAGGGGGTCGGCGGCGGTGACGGGAAACACAAATGCAGGTCGTTGGTCGCCTGTCGCCGGTGGGAGTTGGAGACGTTGAGAAGTTACAGTCGGAGTACACTACAGGTCCTACGGGAAGGAAGGAGGAAGCTGAAGTCGGAAGCTAGTCGTCATTCATATTGTGAAGGTTGAACCGCTGAAGAGTGAAGACGGACTGAGAATGAGAATCGAGTCAATCGACGGAACACGGAAAGCTAAAGCCCTGATTTCCCATTTGTATTTTACATTAAACATATATATTTTTTATATAAATATAAACGGGGCCCCCGCGGGAGTACGGGACGGAAATACTCACTCCTGCCCCCGGTCCCGAAAATAAACGGGAGTTAATATCGCCCCCGCCCCCGCTCCTGCTCCCGAATTTTTTTAAAAATTAGTCCTGTACGGTATCGGGGTCCCGCAGGGGGTTTTGACATCCCTAGCTTCCACTAAACTTTCTCCAACTCAACAACCTTGTTCTTCAACGTTTTCGTCTTTCTGTCAAGAATCGTCACCGGTCTCTCGATATAATTCAGACGATCATCCACCTGAATATCCTCCAATGGAACCATCGCGGAATCATCCACTAAACATTTCTGCAACAGAGATACGTGAAACGTGCTATGGATCTGACTAAGCTCCTTGGGAAGATCCAAGCGATAAGAAACCCAACCCACCCAAGCCAAAACCCTGAAAGGACCGATGTACATGGGGCTCAGCTTGCCCCTCTTCCTGAATCGGATGAAACCTTTCCAAGGTGACACTTCAGGAGAACCATATCCCCAAACTGGAACTCTAGCTCTGACCAGCGCTTGTCGGCATAGCTCTTCTGCCGACTCTGAGTTGTCTGGAGTCTACCCCGAATCTGCTGAATCAACTCAGTAGTCTTGAGTACCACTTCGGTACTCCTCATGAATCGCTGACCGACCTCACCCCAACATACCAGGGTCCTGTATTTCCTCCCATAGAGCATCTCAAAAGGAGGTCGATCAATGTTGGTGTGATAACTATTGTTATACGAAAACTCCGCCAAAGGGAGATACGTATCCCAACTCCCACCGAAATCGAATACACACGCCCGAAGTATATCCTCCAAGCTCTTGATAGTCCGCTCACTCTGTCCTTCGGTCTGATGGTGGAAAGCGGTGCTAAAATGCAGACGAGTACCCAACTCCTCATGGAACCTCTTCCAAAATCTGGAAGTAAACCGGATGTCCCTGTCTGAAACCACAGAAACCGGCACCCCATGTCGTGCCATAACCTCCCTGATGTATATGTCGGCCAACTTCTCCGCAGAGATACTCTCCTGAATCAGAATAAAATGCACGCTCTTGGTCAATCGATCCACGATAACCCAAATTGAATACACTTTGCGCGCTGTCTGAGGCAACTTTGTAATGAAATCCATGGTGACCTCCTCCCATTTCCAAACGGGAATGTCAAATGGATGCATCTTGCTCTGAGGCCGTTGATGCTCGGCCTTGACTTTCCTGCAAGTCAAGCACCTCTCCACATTCCAAGATACATCCCGCTTCATACAGGGCCACCAATAATCAGGACGTAGATCTCTATACATCTTCGTCGCCCCAGGATGAATGAAGAATCTCAATTTGTGCGCCTCATTTATCAGAACCTGACAAACACCACCCCCAATACAAAACCCACACCCTCCAACAAAGAGTCAATAACCCCTAGGTATCATAATCGAAGGAAGTCACCTGACCCAATACGCGCTCTATCTTCCGGTGCTCTTCTTTCATAGCCTCAACCTGAGCCGCTCGAATCTGCTCCAAAAGTGGAGTAATCACTGTCATCCTCAAGCAGATATCTCTAATCGGAGCCGCGAACGCATTGCATCTGAGAGCATCGGCCACCACATTGGCCTTCCACGGATGGTAAACAATCTCACAAGCATAATCCTTCACCACATCCAACCATCGGCGCTGCCTCATGTTCAGATTCGGTTGATCCATCAAATACCTCAAACTCTTGTGATCCGTGTAAATCGTACAGTGGACCCCATAGAGGTAATTTCGCCAAATCTTGAGGGCGAAAACCACAGCCCCAACTCTAAATCATGTGTTGGATAATTCGCCTTATGAGGCTTTAGCTGCCTCGAAGCATAAGCAATCACGCAACCCCTCTACATCAGAACTGCACCCAAACCCGTGATCAATGCATCACAATAAACTACAAAATCCTCAACACCCTTAGGCTAAGTCAGAATTGGCGTCTCACACAATCTTTGTCTCAGGATCTCGAAAGCTGCTTGCTGCTCAGGCCCCCAGCGAAAAGTGACAGTCTTCTTTGTCAATCGAGTCAGAGGAACCGCTATCTTGGAGAAATCCTGAATGAACCTCCGATAGTAACCTGCCAACCGAAGAAATTCTGAATCTCAGATGGAGACCTCGGAACCTCACACCTCATCATGGCCACGACCTTGGACGGATCGACCAGAATACTGTTCTGGTTGACAAGGTGCCCCAAAAACTACACCTCGCACAACCAGAACTCACACTTGGAGAACTTCACATAAAGTCTCTCCCTCCTCAAAGTCTCTAATACCTCCCTCAATTGCTCCTCATGCATCTCCAGTGTCTTGGAATAGACCAGGATGTCATCAATGAATATAATCCCATACCAATCCAACATTGGCCTGCATTCGCGGTTCATGAGGTCCATAAACACAATTGGAGCATTGGTGAGCCCAAAGGGCATCGCCACAAACTCGTAATGACCATTACGAGTCTGGAAGGCCGTCTTCTGCACATCCTCCTCTCCGACCCTCATATGATGATAACCCGAATGCAGAACAATCTTGGAAAACTAAGATGCACCTTGAAGCTAGTAAAAAAAATCATCAATCATCGGGAGTGGATAACGGTTCTTCACCGTTAGCTTATTCAACTCCCGGTAGTTACACATCTGATGCGACCCATGCTTCTTCTTCATAAAACAGGATCAGAGCTTCCCATGGTGAACTGCTCGGTCGAATGAACCCCTTGTCTAACAGATCCTGTAGATGTGTAGACAACCCCTGCATCTCTGGAGGAGGTAACTGATATGATGCTTTGGCTATCGGAGCCGCACCCAAACCAGGTGAATCCTAAACTCCACCTGCCTCTCCGTAGGCACCCCATGCAAGTCCTCCGGGTATCCCCGGACGACCGGCACATCATCCACAGTCGCCTTACCCTTCTCCAGGGTATCCATAATATAGGCAACATATCCCGAACAACCCTGTTGAAGATAGCTTTTTTCCCTAGCTGCTGAACATAGAATCGGCCCTCGTTGAGCACTCTCCCCCTGAACCACTAACTCTCCCCCACTTGGGGTTCGAATACGTACCAACTGATTCTCACAATCAATCACCACCCCATTGGGGCTCAACTAGTCCATCCCTACGATAACCTTGTTCCCGCGCAGAGGAGTGGGAACCAAATCAATCAGATACTGCCCGCTGAACATCTCAAGAATACAACCCCGATGAACCCTCGATACCCGGCCAAATCGATCATCTGCAGTCTCAACCTCTAAGGGACAATCCAGTTCCACTGGAGCTCTAACAAGCCTCTTGCTAAGCGCAAGCGATACAAAAGATTAGGTAGCCCCTGAATCAAACAATACCAACGCAGAGATACCGTTCACGAAGAACGATCCTAAAATAAAACACACAAATATAAACAGACAAATCAATATAAATAAAGAGATAAAGAGAAGATGTATACCCGTCACCACATCAAGTGTTGCGCGAGCCTCCTCAGCTGTCAGCTGAAAAGCCCTCCTCCTCACAACAGGCGCATCCACCTTGCCCTGGCGGCCGTCAGTAATCCGTAGAGTCGTTGGAGCGGGTGCTGCAACTGGTCCTGCTGCTGCCAAAATCGGACAATTGGCCTTCTTATGGCCCCTCTGATTGCAATGGAAACAAATCAGATCAGATACTGGGGTGGTGGTGGCAGTACAATCCCTGCTAATATGACCTGTCCGGACGCACTTGAAGCAGCCATAACCACCCACCATGTATGTCCCATCGTGCTTCTTGTGGCACTTGCCACAACGGCTCCGGCCCTACTGGCCTCTCGATCTCGAATCAAAAACTTTGGGCCTCTTTCCAGAAGTCTCTGAACCCTGAACCTGATCCGGCTTCCTCTTCCTCTCCATCTCTAAATCAATATATCTCTCTCTAGCCCTCGCTATCATATGATCCAGTGTCTTGCAACTGGATCGTCTCACAAACTGCCAGATATCACTACTCAACATCTCATGGTATCTCACCTTCTTCATCTCCTCATCCGACACATACTACGGAACCAACAACGCCCTCTTGCGGAACATAGCAGTGATCTCAGCCACCGTCTCAGTAGTCTGGCGGAGATCCCGAAACTCTCGCGCCAGCTGCTAGACCTCAATCACAGGTGCGAACTCGGCCCAAAATCTCATCACAAAATCCTCTAAAGTCATGGACTCAATCGCCTCATCTCCCAAGA